CCCTCGACCCCGCCGTATCACCCCCGATCCCCATAGAATCCCCACCCTCTACGCCCCTCCCGCCCCCACTTTCCCAGCGCACTCCCAGTCCTCTGCCCCGCCTCTCCCTTTCCCACCACTACCACCCTGGTTTGCACCTCTCTCCTACCCAATCCACCGCAACTCGGCACTGCTCTGTTCCTTGCCCAGCCAACGGCCACCTGGATCATACAGCGTCAGCAGTTCGGTAATCGACAACTAAGAAAGAAACGGCAACTCAGAGGGGCCCAGGAGATGATCACTTCAGACAAGGAAATGCCGTACCTCCAGATACCGGGAAGGAAGAAGAGCACCGTACACATGATGTGCCTCCAGGTACAGGGGCCAGGAGAAACACATGGGTTCGGCAGCACATGACGTCTCTCCAGGTACAAGGGCCAGGCGAAACACAGGGGATCGGCACTCAGGATTTTTCCACACAATCTGAGAATACCTGCCTGAACAGAATCCCCTCTTAATCACCTGCTGGTCACAATTTTACATTGTGACATAAATAAAAGTTGGTCTCATGACAGTCAGTCCTTTAGGTGCAGCTCCCCACCAATAGAATGGAGCCATCTATCAAGCAGGGAGAGTAGAGGAGGTGTCTGCTCGTATCAGCACCTCCTCTACTCCCCGGAAATGATGTTGAATTTGAAAAAAAAATAATAATAATAAAAAAAAAAAAAATCCTTCAATGTCTTCTGATCTGTAGGGCGCAAGGATAGACAAAGGGTTGAGCAGGTGAGAGGACTGGGTAAAAGGTTTAAAGGGTTTAAGGGGTTTAAGAAGAGGAGTACAGAAGATGAAGAGTTTTAAAATGGTTTAAAAGGGTTTAAAAGGTTTGAAAGCCAGTTTACAAAAGCCAGGCAAGAGAACATTCAGCAGGGGCTGCAGAATGGGGCTGGGAGAATAGATAAGGGGAGCTCCAGGATAGTATAGGTGTCACTAGCAGCTCCACGGGATAACGGAGCCCAGGGACAGACAAGATAAGTATCCACAGCCCCAGGAAACAAATGACCTGGGCAGCCTATTTTGGGAGACGATACAATACCAACCTGATTGGTGGGATAGGGGACGCTGGACCCGTTTTCCAGCAAAATGGCGTCATGTTAAATGATCCATAATTCTGTAAAGATAAATTTAAGGGACGCTGGACCCGGTTTCCAGCAGGTGATGCTCCCCACTAATAGATGGAGCGGCCCGCTAGCCAAAGCCTCAATCCCGGTGGTTCTCTTGCCACCACGGGGATGGAGGTCTTGTATAAGGGCCTTTCTTGAAGGAAAAAAAAAAAAAAAAAAAGGGCAGGGCTCTATTATTACATGGTGCAAGGTTAATCCTTCCCACCAGGGGAAGCAATCAATGCCCCTTGTGCATTCTGCACTTTTGATGTTTAGGGAAGCTGTCTCCCATGGGAGCAGTGGCCAAGGCTCTTCCAGCCCTGATGGGAAGAGGCGTGAGTTTGTGTTGTGTTTCAATCTTATAATCTTAGCCTTGGGCCCTCTTCCAAAAAAAAAAAAAAAAAAAAAAAAAGGGGGGAGGGGGSCGGGGCCCCCCCCCCCCCCCTTCCTCCCCCCCTGTACAAGGCAATGGCCCTAGAAATTTTCTGCCCAGATTGGTCTGGGAAATGATGAAGGGTTTTTGTGGTGCAGATGCTGGACCCGGTTTCCAGCATAAAAAACGTTTTTTTTTTTTAATATAAGGGACGCTGAACCTGGTCCAGCAGGTGGTGCTCCCCAGTATCCCCACCAATAGAATGGAGCAGTTAAAAAAAAAAAAAAAAAAAAGAGCAAACAGTTGGTGTGGCGAAGAGCCCAAACCTCTTGAAGACACTGCTCTCAGAATTCTCTGACAACTCTCAAAAAAACCTCTTGAAGACACTGCTCTCAAAATTCTCTGACAACTCTCGAAAAACTTCAACGATTTCGAGATTGGTGTGGCAAGAAGGCCCAATGTATGGACTGACCTATGGACTGCTTTAGGAGTGGGACTTCGATTGTAGCGCCCGACTGAATTTGAACCCATGATACAATGGGCCTTGTTCGACACTCCTCGGACCGTCCTCAGGGCCCGAGGAAATTATCCCGTCGTCGCTCGAGGAAATTCGCGCCGTCGTTCCACTTATCCTTGGAATTGTTCCCCGAGGACGATTCCTCGGGGCCTTCCGCAGCCACTTTCATATATCGACAAGCGGACGCGGGGGGGGGGGAGGAGGTTGGTCCAGCAAGGTGTGTCCGTGCCGATGTCGTTGGTCCAGCTCGGGCGGGTGTCACGAATTCGAAAGTTGGCAGCGGAAAAAAAAGAAGGCACGAAAAAGGCGCCCAGGCCCGGGTTCGAAATTCGAAATTCGAATTTCTGCAAGCGACCGGCAAGTACCGTGACGATGGTGGCGACGACGAATAATCACAGGTGCGTTCTCCACGGTGGAATAACACGGCGATGAGGTTCAAAGGTCCCACGGCGTTGTCTGCGACGACGAAGGTGGATTGCCCCGTGGACCAACCAAGGCCACGACTGCGATCATGGCGACAAACGCGGCGATGGCGACGAATGCGACGACGCCGAGAAAGGCGATGTAGGCGGCGAGGAAGAGGACGTCGACGTCGAACACTGCCAGATGAACTGGCGACGACCCGCCTTCATGGCACGCGCACGTCACAGCGAACCCGCCGGAAGGCGCGGATCGTCGACGGCGGCGGAGCGCAGCGTGCGACTACGTTCGTGCCGCGGAGATGAACAATCGGGGAGAGGAGGCAGGACCAGGTGAGGACCACACAACGAAAAGGCTGACTTGTGTACCGTGGTGCGCGCATTTGGAGCCGAATCATGCATTTGGCAACGACGGCCGCATCCTTATAAACACACGCTGCTGCTTGGTGCGCGGCGACGAGCGAGCAGTTCGCACGAGTGTTAAACGAAAACTCCATCGCCCTGTCGTCGAAACGGTGGTGTCGTGGGGCTCATCGCTGATGGCGAAACGAAAGGCCAAAGGTCGCGGGGTACACTGCCGCTGGCCAGTGACCCCACCACCCATCTTCTCGCCACCCTTCGTCAATTTCGCCGGCGAAGGACCACCCGCCCACAACCACCACCACCCCCCTAACAGTCGCCATCCACGTCCCCCGGTGAAAAGACACGCACACCACGAAAGTGCAACGGCACGAAACTCACCTGCCCCCCCCACCCCAAAGAACCCAGCCACCACCCCCGACAACCATAGCGCACATATCTGGGGGTGGTGGGGGTTGGTGGGGGGGCAGGGGGGGGGGGGAGGGATATGGTATGGCGGGAAACGTGTTAAGGACCAATACCTCGACCTCCAACAACTGCCACCCCACCGAGGGATCGACAACGGCATGAAATTAGATAACAGCAACAACACATTTCAAAAACTCCACTTCTGATGATAGGACATCCACATTTAGACGACAATTTGCGAGGAATGCAAGCACGGCATCTCCATCGACGACTGTGTGAGGGTATTCACTATATGAACAACAGCATTCCATAAATGGACGACATTGAAGACAACACCGTTATTACACCTCTGCATTTCATTCAGGGAGAGGACAGCAAAACACATGCTCGTGGAGAGAGAGAGAGAGAGAGAGAGAGAGAGAGAGAGAGAGAGAGAGAGAGAGAGAGA